ATAGATACACACACAAACATACACGGGATTTATTAGAATTACTTACAGACTGTGGTACAGCTAATCCAACAGTGACTGCTGTGAGCAGACAGTCCAAGAAACCAGTAACTGTTCAGTCCACAAAGCTGAATGTCTCAGCTGGTCTTTAGTATACAGCAGAATGCTGAAGAAATAGGCTTAAATGTCATTGAAGGAATGGGACTTGCTAGCAAGGCAAGAGACAACAGGCAAAGAACAAAAACTTTCTTCTTCCATATTCTTATATAGGCTTTCAGCAGAAGGTCCAGATATGATGCTGGTTTTTCTTCCTTCTCAAATCTGGATTAAAGGTATGTCTTCCCACTTCAAATATCCAGATTAGAAGTAGAACTTCCTTTTTCAAATTAGGCAAAAATTTCTCACAAGTGTGTCCCATTTTTTAACTCTTAGCTAATTCTAGATGTAGTCAAGTTCACACCCAAAAATGGCCATCACAAAGGGAGATACTTCATACTTTCATATATATATATATATAAAATTTATTCACTTTATATACCAATTGTAGCCCCCTTTCTTATCTCCTCTCAATCCTACCCTCCTTTCCTCTTCTCCCCATCACCCTTCTCTAGTCCACTGAAAAGGGGAGCCCTCCTCCCAGACCACCTGATCCCAGTCAAATACTCCTAGACACCATCCTCCCTCCCTGGCCTTGTAGCAGTTCCAATACTTCTCAGCAATGTCAGCCTGGGGGACAAAGCTTCTAGAAAATTATCCTTTGGGGAATTCATCCAAACCAGAGCCAAACCATAGCATAAGCCAATACCATACAGAAAAATTTCTTAAGTTTATGAAGCTATCATATGCAGATAAAACTGTAACAGAGAAGAAAATGATGAATTTTCAACTTAGAAATGTTGGTGCAAATTTTTAATAGATCAGAAGTTACATATAAGATTGATATCCAAAGAGAGTTTATGCACAGAATACAAGGTTGTTTCAATACTAGGAAGTAAATTTATATGTTTATATATCAATAACATATCAAGTAGGGAAATAGTTGTTTGGATTGATTGAAATTCAGCATCATTTTCCAATGAATAAAAACAGAAAACAAAGATACATGGACATCTAGTGTATAGCAGTGGTTCAAATATGTATGACAAAATTTAATGCTTTAATATATATGGTCCTTTCATGAAGCAATGAGAAAGTGATACACTCAACAGAAAAATATTAGTATCACACAAATCATAAGTCAACTGTTCACAAAAACTGAGAAATGTTTAATATAATGAGTTTTAAATATTTTAAGTGCAAGTTGCAAAATGAGGATTTTTTTAAGTTACTATATTGGCAGTGATTACAATGCTAATGTACTTACTATTTGTGAGGCTGAAAGAAATGGGTTCTTCCATTTGTCTGGAAAATATATGCATTGACAAAATAATAAAGAAATATAATTGTCTTTATCTTTAAAATCAATAAAAGTACAAACACCTTTTAATCTAGAAATTCCAATTTTAAGAGTGAAATCTAAAAAAATTACTTCAGAAGAATGCTCACAATATCTAGGAACAAAGATTATGAAATATTTTATTTTATTATGAAAATAGATATAAGCTTAATTCCAACAATGGACTGTGGTATTACAAAACCTATGATAAATTCATATAAAACTATGCAATCATTACAAGTGCTGTTGAACATAAATATAAATATTTTTATATAGAATGTGTTAGGGTGCATTAGATAGTAAGAACTCAGCTTAAACCTGTATGCCAGCACCCTTCTTCATGTTTAGCTTTAAATTATCTCTTATGTCTGTCTGTTTGTATATCTATCATCTGTTGTTGAATCTACATAGCTTTCATCTATCATTTATATACCTACCTATGTATAATATATCTGTCTTTCTTTCATTATCTATCATTTTCTATCTGTCTTTTATCTACCATCTTTCTACTTTCCTATCTACTTATTAATAAAAGGTGAAAGTATATTTTAATGATATTAAAATTAATAAACGTAGCTGTTGTGTCTTTATTCTCACAATAGTTTATTATTATTTTGTGAAGTATATGTTATTAACATATGTTGCTTGTTATTTTTTTCATTAGAAATTATTACTTTTGCAAGGAAAAAAGCAACATTTTCTTTAAGGCAATATATATATATATATAATTTTTTTCTCTTTCATATAAAGCATAACACAAACATAATATGCTTTTTATAAGATAAATCTTACATTTCAATTCTAAAATAAACACAATAGAAAATTAGACTGTAGGCAATTACTAAAATAAAACTATAAATGCTCTAGAAAAAAGAAAATGTCAACTCTTACTTTTGCTTTCTGAGATCAAGTTTTGCTAAGTATATAGTTGAGGCTGCCTGAAATTTATGAGCTTTTTGGCTCAGGCTCTCAAGTATTGGGATTGAAGGCTTATGCTACCATGCTTAGTTCAATTTCACCATTAATTAAAAAACTTAAAATGACATTCTCTTTTTCTATCTCAAAACGAGAATATTTGGGTGGGTAAACTTCTCAGCACACAAGGCTGTGACCCACGTTCAGGTTTCCAGAACCCCCACCAGATCAGATGAAGTCAACTCTGCTGTAATCTCCAAGCTTCTACCACAAGATGGAGGTGGAGACAGGAGAATCCCGGCTCACAGGTCAGCTATCCCAGCACACACAGAAGCAAACAAAAGACCTTGTGTCAAACACGGTAGAAGATGAGGACCAATACTAGAGGTTGTCCTCTGCTCTCTCTATGTGCACCATGACACTGTGAACACAAGCACTCACACACACACAAAATTGATGTATTATTTTATCTAGCGAGTGCTTAGTGTTGAGCTATCTTGAACAATGCAGTTATGAAAACATTTCTAGAGACTATGACAATATATAACAAAAGTTTTATTTTTATTATTATTTTAATTATGTGTATGTGTGTGCTTCTGTGTGGCGGTATGTGCACATAAAGGCAGGTGCCCTTGGAGGCCAGATGAATTGGACCCCTGAGACCTGACATTACAGGTGGTTGCAAGGGAAACCGAACTTCAGTCCTTGCTAGAGCAGTATGTCTTCTTCACCACTGAGCCATCTCTCTAGCTCCCACAACACACGTTTTAATATTGTGAATGCCATGAGGCCCATGCACCTCCTTCCTTAAAATTTCCAAAAAGAGATATGTAAAGAAGTGTACAAGTACAGGTTATCAGACCACTGTTTATGATGACAAAAATTAGGAGAACCTCTCATGTTCAAAATGTGAAATTGATTATATGATGGGATATCCACATTAAGTTGATATTATTCAGAAAGTACATTAGATTTTAGAATAATTACATGTAACAGATTCATAAAAAAAAATGAAGTGATGGAAAGTTTTTCTTTTCTGCTCTGTCTTAATACCAGCCAGAGAATGTGTGCAAAATGACCTGGTAATTTTGCTCTGTTTGGTGTCTGGACACTTACATAGACTTGCTGGTAACTTGCTGATATTGGGGCTGCATTTGGTAACATGCTTCCCTTTTTAAATTGCTATAGTGAGTCCACAGTGTGAAAAACCTTTGTTCAGAAAAAAAAAAGGATGCTGGACCCATGTTCCTATACTACAGCATACTATAACCAGCTAATGGTTTAATACTTAGTGATTATAGCGTCACTAAGGAAATAACTTAGTGATTTTTAACTCAAAAGTGCAATTAGAACTCATGCTGAGACAAACATACCATCTAATGGATGTTTAGACTGATTTAAATTGATAAAACTAAAATGGGTTTTCTTCCTACTCATTGAAAACACTTAGGAAAATAATAACAAGGCATACAGTGTATTCTCTGAAACCACATACACATGACAAATCATTTCCACAGAGTCTTTATGTATGCAGGAAGGGGAAGGTCCCCACTGAGAAATATAAAGCACTGGAGGACCTGAGTCCTCAAAGTGTAAAAAAAATCTTATTAAGTAACAAGATGGTTTGATTCACTGTGTGGAAGCTATGAAGCAACACACTGCTAATCATATGACCAATCAATCAAAAATGCCTTCTAAAAGGTAGCAACATCAGAATACACAAAACACTTCCTTGTGAAAATGCTTGGAACCTCAAGCATACTGCAATATCCAATATGATACCTCATGCCTTACAATAGTTACTGGCCCATGGCAACAGAATTACTGTATGGCAAATTCAAGAGCACATACAGAAGAAAAAGGTCATACTTGACTGAGGTAAAAATTTTATCTGTTGCTTATGCTATTTTAAGGAAAATGTGCCAGTACAGTTCTCAAAGAAAAAGGTAGACTGATAAGTTATGAAAAAAAAAAAAAAAACAGAAGGAATGAGGCTACTCACATCCATGATTCCTGCACACCAAGGAAAGACTTCTGGTGAGAGCAGACAGAAAAGGAGCCAGGAAGTGCAGTCAGCAAAGAGCTTGCAGGTTTTCCACTTTTTATTCTTTAAAAACCTATCAGTAAAATAGACACCCGACTCCAGAATGCAAATACGTGATTACACATTCAATGCAAGAGAGAAGTAAAACAACAGAAAGAACCCATCAAGTGTCTTGAGTGGTGGAAAAATGCATTCCTGTCTTTAGTTTTCTGTCCTTTACTTAAAGAGACTGTTTTTGCAATGGACACAATGTCTTCCATTAAAAAGTGAAGCCCCCATCCTGTTTTGGACTCAACAGTTTCACTCTGAGGGGTGACGTAGGAAGAGAACCAGGGATGTTCTTATTATGCAGCGTGTGTTAGGAACTGTTCCTTTGAGGGAAAAGTGGAACCTGCTGTCTTCTCAGCCTTTGTCTCCAACTACCTATTTCAATGTGACCTTTAACCCTGTGGGTTCCTCACAATTCGTTTCTCCCGGCGAACAAGCAAACGGCTCGTGGTGTCTCCTTCGTACTGTTTCCCATCTGGTCTTACGCGGCCTCTGCTGTATGATTCCTCCAGCTCACAGTCTGAAAAGAGCCTACCTGGTGTTGTTTGAGTGTGGCCAACCTTAGACACCCACCATTCCCTCTGCTCTTTCACACATGCGCTGCAGGATCCGGTGAATACTGCAGAAGCTGGGTCTATCCGCAGGCAGTTTACTCCAACACAGGCGCATGAGATTGTACAGTTCCAACGGGCAGTTCTCAGGGCAGGAGAGGATGTTGCCATCTCTCACATAGTAGATGACCTCCTCGTGGGCCATTCCATAATAAGGTTGCAATCCATATGAGAAGATCTCCCAGAGGACCACTCCATAGGCCCACACATCTGACTCTGTGGTGTAGCGGTTATAGAAGATGGACTCAGGCGGCATCCAACGAATAGGTATGGCGTCGTTTTCATTAGCTTTGTAATAGTCTGCGGAGTAGATGTTCCTGGAAAGGCCAAAGTCTGCAATTTTTACTACCATGTTTTCCCCCACCAGGCAGTTTCTGGTAGCTAAGTCCCGGTGGACAAACTTGCGCTCTGACAGGTAGGCCATGCCGGCTGCCACCTGCCTAGCAATGCAGAGCTGTTCTGCACAGGACAAGGGTGGAGGACCGGGGCTGGACACCTGGGCCCCTGTGGACAGATCAGTGTTGCTGAGGCTGCATACGCTGTGAGGAGACATGCTTCGAAGGAACTCATTGAGGTCGCCATAGGCCATGTACTCAAAGAGCAGACACATTGGCTTCCCTACTGCACACACCCCTGCAATCAAAATAATATCTCGGTTAGACTGAGTCTTTCAGCAAGGAAAGAGCACTCCGAAACAGAAGATCAGACCAGAAAAGATGGGGTCCTGTTTATTATGGACAGTGTGATCCCACTTCCCTTCCCCCCCCCCCACACCACCACTTCTTTGCTTAAACATCCCCAGTACCTGGAAAGGTTCGGTGTATTTCTTCTCTTTCCAGGTTGTCACAATTCCTGACCCCTTGATTCTTAAATGTTCCCTCGGTTATATTTCCACATATACTACCGCCTGATCTCATACCCATTCAGTGTATTAGACATGCTCCCCCAATGTTTTGTCTCGTGGAATGGAGAGACTGTGCCCTCTGTTTCTTTAAGTCACTCAGACTTCCTGTAACATATGGTCAGTGGATTAAGGAATGAGTATGTGCTGGGGATGTGCGATGCAATCATTCTATTTAGGTCTCTGAAGAATGAGAAGGAAGATCTACTGTGTTTAGGAAGAACAATACAAAGAATCCAAGGTTCTTAAGGGAAGTTCTTAGGTGGCTATGGTAAAATGCTTTGAAATTTAGATTTTATCATTGATGTTCATTCTATTAAAAAAAAAAGCAGTTTTCATATACAAAGAGTTTTACACACAGTGTCAGGAAAGCATTTGAAAAACCTTAACATATTAATCTATATGAGAAATAAATGTAGAAGCTTGTATTGTTAAATCTGATGGGCATAATTTCACCTCAAAATAAAAATAAATTGTCAGATTTTTTTTCCCAGGGAAAATTAAAAGTCTCAGTTTGAAAGAAAAAAGAGAAATAAGAAATAGGGCCTTTTCTGGTTATTTTTGTAATCCAAGAGATTTTAGCAGACAGTGTATACATTAAAGAGGAAATCAAATGTTGGTCATACTTTCCAGTGCCTCCTACAATCTTCTTTGGGTCTTGTCAACAATCACTTACCTGAATCCTCAGGTGTCTATAATGTTGGTGCACTAGTTACATTGGTTTTGAGAGAATTCCTGCATTAGAAAGCTCAAGACAATATATTGCTCTCAAGAAAAAATAGTGTGTGTGTATGCGCGAGCGCGAGCGCGAACGCGTGCGTGCGTGCGTGCGTGTGTATGTGTGTGTGCCCTGAAATCTGGGTAGAAGGAATTTGGGGAAGTAGGTGAAAAGGCTAAACTAGGAAAGGGAGAGACATATCACATGGATCAGAGAGTAAGGCAAAAGGATAAATAACTAAAATACAAAAGAAGAAAAGCTCTTTGCTGAGGAACAATTTTTTTTCACCTATATTTTCATACCTAAGAGCTTCACAATGTTGGGGTTGTCAAATTCCGCCATGAGGGCTGCCTCCCTCTGAAAGTCGGCTTGCATGTCTGCTGAAGCTTCCTCCTTGAGCATCTTCACAGCCACCATAGTGAAAGGTTCATGAGGAAGTAAGCCTGGAGCCCTGAGAGATAAACCAAAGATGGGGACATTTACACTGCTGTGGTTGTATTTACTCCTATTAACATACCCACACACACTTATGCAGCCTTTCCAGAGCTGCAAATGCGAAGGAAGATGACAACAGTAAGCCATGCTTAAATTTCTTGGTGCCAAATAAAAAAAAAAAAATCACTAATTATTCTTAACGTAGGTTATGTTTAACAATCCATTATGTACCAACTAGTAATCCCCTACTGGTTAGCAGGAATCTAAATTTCTTGAGGATGGAGACTATGGCTGTCTGCTTTTGTGTCCCTCCTATATCCTAAAGTGACATCTTGTCAGTCTCGAGGTAAGCATGGGAGACTTTTCATTTTAAATGTAACTTCAATTTCAAGGCTACTTTAAGTGGAAATAGGGCTGTATTTGCTCAAGGACAGAACTGACAACTGATGAATAAATCCAAGCCCTATTGCCCAACTCTGTGTCTGAGGATCTGTGTCCACACAGAGTGGGTATTTTATCCCATTTCAAACAAAGTAAAAAAAAAAAAAAAAAAAAAAAAAAAAAAAAAAAAAGAGCTATGATTGGCCGTGATACACCTCTTTCCTGAACTGATTTTTTAATTTTTACAGTTTCCCATTGTTTCATGAATGTCTATTTAATGTCTATAGAAGTGAAACTGAGTTCTTAAACACTAATTCAAAGGGAACTTTAAATGAAGTACATAATGACAACAGAAAAATTAAAAACAAGTACATAGGGATTATTATCAATGCAATGTAAGAAATTATGGCTGAATGTATGGAAAATTATTTTCTAGAAATGAAATATGGTTGGATTAATGAATGTTTTTGTAAGATGATTATTGGATTTCCTATAAATTAAGAATTTAACTTCCACAAACCACATTCTTTCTAGGTATGCTACTTTCTAGTAAAAAGGAAACATTAAGATTTACAATAAAGCATGTATGGGTAGAGAGATGGCTTGGACCACTAACCACATTTCCAAAGGATCTAAATAGTGGCTTATACCCAACTGTAACTCCAGTTTTAGGGGATCCAATGCCCTCCTCTGGTTTCTGAGGACACTGCCCCCACATACAGACAGACAGACAGACAGACAGACATAAATTCAGACCTACATTCGGGCAAAATACCAACACATGCAAAGTTTAAAAAAATAGCTTTCAGTACAAATAAATGATGTGCTAAATAACTTGATAATAACTTTCGTTCACAGTAGATCAGTCTAATAATCTGGTAACTTTTAAAACATAGTGAATTTCAGCAGAGTTTTTTTTTTTTCCATAGTTAACTTTACCTTGCTTGAAAGACCCTTCCAAACGCTCCCTCTCCGATGTCTCTGACATACTCAATGTTATTCCTGGGATACTCCAGGCTGAGCAGCTTGGGATTCAGAAGGAGTGGCATCCTCTGGTACATGGGGTTGGGATGGAGCCTATCCAGCAGGAGCTCAGAAGGCAATGTGGTGAGGGTCACCGCTGTTGACTCTCTGCAGGTGAGAGAGGCGAGATCAAGAATGGCCTTTGCACTTAGACCTCGAACCTTGAAGATACTCAGAAATACATAGAGCTGGAAATACTAAGACAGCGGGAAACTCTTGGGCTTGAAAATGATAAAGTCTGTTGCTTGTGCTCTAGTCAATAGACACATTTTGTCACTATCTATATCAGCAGCAGCAATGGGAGAAGATGGGATACAGAAGTTGCCATTTCCATCCAAATGATTACTTAAGTTGTATCTGTTATAAACACTGACTTTGGTACATGTGACCTGTTTAAAGTTCAAAGTAGCGGTGTCTAATTTTAAAGCCAGGGTGTGGACACCAGCAAGATAGTGGTGGTGTGATGAGACACCTCTCCTCCCCAACTACAAAACTGAGTATAAGGGTTATAGGGCATGACTTCATGCGATTGGCTTCAACTCCATTCTCACCTTTTCTTATTTTTCCACTCTTTCCTTCTTCGGCAGCAATAAAGAGTAGCAATGGTAAGAAGAGCAAAAACGGCAAAGCTGGACATGATGAAGATGATGACAGTCATGGAGTACGCAGGTGAGACAGCGAAGGAAGAAGTGGAGGAGGGCAAATTTGGAATGTCCACACTCGGCTTGGAGGACACTATTGATGGGAATGCTGCAAACAAACAATAGTTCTTTGTGTTGATTTTGGAACCTTTAAAAATTAGTTTTTGTATTGAAGCTCTCACTACCACATTATTAATAATATGGCAGTGTATCAGCTTCTCCTGGTTATCTATTTATAAAGCCTTATATTAATAATCCAATAAGGTTCACTTGCAAAGAGGAGGAGACTTGGAGAAGAAATATGCTTTCCTAAAAGAAATGCAAGTCCCAGGCTGCTTATTCACTATCTGTGAGTGACAGAGCTCAGAAAATTATACAGTAAAATGTTTTCATATAATGAGACTGAAGTTGAAATGAGAATGTCTGAGATGAGCTTGTGTGTGTGTGTGTGTGTGTGTGTGTGTGTGTGTGTGTGTGTGTGTGGTAGGTTTACAAATAATAAAAATAACCAAAAAAGATGATGAAAAATGAAACCATTGAAATATAAATGAACAGAAAACCATTAATTTAAAACTTGAACTCTTATGAAAGTCCTATGTAAAAGGCCAGTGACATTTAAAAGCAAGTAAAATCTGCATTTATGCTGGAAATCAGCATTTGCCACCCTTCTGTCGCTCTGCTGGCAGCATGCAAGTCCACAGTGGACATAGTTAAACAACCTTATTACACATAGCTTGATATACATATATATTTTTTGTAGAGTAAGTACAGGAAAAAAAACCATGGAAACAGAAGTTTTATACATGACAAAAAGAGTCTTGTCATTAAGAATCAACTTTGTAGCCTAAAAAGAGAGAAGATTATTATCATATCTGGGAAACACTGACAATGTGGCTAATGCCAGGCCACAGAGGTAAACCTCAATAAATTCCCAAAGCATACATTACAAAGCTCTGTTCACTCACCAGCATGCATACAGTGAGAGATTAAATAAAATCCAACAGGACTATGAAGCAAAAGAAAGATCTGTTTAACTCTACTGGTTAAAAAATTATGTCGCCAGAAAAAAAAATAGTTTGTAATGATATTATTACATCACATTATTACATTATTACATGTAATGGTATGTTTGAAATTTGGCTAAAATTGTATTCATTGATAAACTCATGGTTTTATCTTCCGTTAGACACAAGGAAGGATGAATGGAATATGAAACTTTAGACAAGCAAAAGTAACTCTTGAGAACAAAAGAAAACAGGACACGATACACATATGCAAGCAGAGGTTACTAAGTGAGACCACACATACCACAAATGACAAAGATGAGTAAAATTTCTAGTCTTTTAAATATTTAGAACATGGTTTGATGAGTGGAATTTTAATTGGGAAAGACAAGAAAGCCACAAATGTAGCAATTAAGAAAGAAATGTTATCTCCATATACTCACAGATCAGTAAAGTGCATAGTACATAATTATGCAATCACACTAAAGTCTTAGGGAAAATCATAGGAACACAGTAGTTACCAAATTTGAATAAGAAATATACATGAGTAGAACCGTAAACTAGAAATTGCTTTTAAAAACCATTGTATAATGACAAACATGCTCTTTGAGACTTGGGGGAGGTAAAATTCCAGTATCATAATATGTCCCATTTAGAGAACATTCTTTTAACCCTTTAAGGAATCTACAGTGCTAAACTGAAACACAGATTTTTAAAAGGAAAAGACACACACCAGTTATCTGACAGAGATTTAGAAGTGCCTGACTGAGCAATTGCTAACTGATCCCCAACAGAGTAAGAGAATACAGGTTTCACAAGCAGGAAGATATTAAAACACACACACACACACACACACACACACACACACACAAAAGAAAAATCTTTATTCCAGTAGGAGCCAATGGCATTTGGAAAAGGCCATTTTTAAAGTGATGGACCTGTATAAACAGGGCCTGTGTCTGCCTCTTTAGCTTGGAGTAGGGACAGCTCAACACTGCTAGCTGAACAAAAGAAAACCTTTAATACAGCACGTGTCCAAGGTTTGAAACACAACACTCATGAAAGTACAGGTTGTAAGGGGTGTTTATGTATGACTTCTAGTCTAGGAGTGAACATAGTGAATAACCCTGACCCCCACTAGCTAAGCAAGTGTTTTGAACTGTAGAGGTCAAATGTGGTCACTACTGTGACTTAGGAAGACATATGGGACAGGAAGATATTTAATACAGAAGATATTTAATAAAACATCTGCATGATATTGCTGACAGCTTGCCTTATCAAGGCACAGCAGTGGTGAGCTGAGACTTCCCAGGTTCTAATGCTGGTCCACAGTCACCCCGAGTCTTTTCAATCTGAAAGAAACTTTAAAAGAGTCAGCTATCATGAACTCAGTTGACTGCTCTTTGATCATTCTTCCTTGCCAGGCCGCCAGGGAAGAGGATCCAGACAGTCTTGATGAGACTGAAAGGGAGAGCTCCCCCTTTCAGTGGACTAGGGGAAGGGGATGGGGAGGAGAGGGAGGGAGGGTAAGACTGGGGGGAGTTGAGGGAGGAGGCTTCAATTGAGATATATAATGAATAAATTGTGAAGAAAGAAATTAAAAAATTAAAAAGATTCAGCTAACCTCCCATTCTAAATACAGTAGGAATCATTATTAAGAGATGTAGATCAATGTTTATTTTTATACCCAGATTTTACAGAGCTGTTCATATTGTATATAATAAGTGTGAAAATATAATTTGCGAAGTTGATGTGATATAATCAGGAAGTATATTGGTAATTTTTTTCTCAAAAAATATCAGAAAATTGAGTCAGCGGATAAAGCTTGTGGTACTCAAAAATGAGGATGGGAGTTTGTATCTCCAGAACCCAAGTGAAAAGTAGAGTATGGTGGCATGCACTTGTACCCCAGTGCAGGGGACAGGGCACAGACAGCTTAGTCCCAGAGCTCACCTGCTGGCCCATATAACCAACAGACATGTCCTTGTCTCAAAAACTATATATAAGGTGGATATTGATAAAGGAATGTTTGGTCTCCACATAGGTACAGAGGTGTACCTACCCACATATACATACATACACACATACATATGCAAACCACCCACCCTACATGCGTACATAACATATATACATAATTATTATAAAATAGATTTTAATGAGATGTTCTTAAAAAATTCATGATCACTCTGGAAGATTTATATTTTAAATGCAAGAATTTCCATTGTTTGACCAGTAGTTCTGCTGTATGAATTCAAACTCTTCTTCCTTTCTGGACACTTGTATTTGGAGTCTTTGATTGTTGCTCACAAGAAGAAGTTGACTGGGTTTTCTCCTGGGCCATATCAATCACCTCTCCAGAGTCAAATGACCGAATCAGATTTCCATTAAATACCCCTTTTATCCTTAATTTTTCATTAATATATTTCATATCTTTATCTTTTCCTTATGGTAACCAAGTATTCACTCATTCTACACTAATCCATTGATTATTATTAAAGCTTTTTTAGGGATCAGGAGCATCGTGGACTAACTTGTCAAGGAGGAACCAATCCATAAGCAGATTGCTAGTGACAAAATGCAGGAGGATGTTCTAACAGTGGTAGAGGATAGCCAGGAGCTGTAGGAGCAGTGACAGCACAGGCTTGGGCATGCTGGGCGGCTCTTCTAATGTAAATTTAAGTTAGTTATAAATAGTGAAGAGGCAACCGTAGTAGAAAGCTGCTATAGTCTCAACACTTGTGTCTTTAGAAGAGCAATCTGTGATTTATACCCTTATCAAAGAGATCTGAGAGGCCTCCTTTCTGTCGTGTGCAATTACAGTGAGAAGACAGCGATATCTGAAGTTATATGTACGGCAGCCACATGTATGGTCCTCACCCGACACCAAATACACCTATGCCTTTATCCTGGACAGATAACTTCCAGAACTCTGAGAAACAGATTTTCATGGCTTGCAAGCTGCTCCCTCTATTGTGTTTTGTTACTGTAACTTAATAGGCCCAAGACAAGATGACCACAAGGGAGGGGGAAGCATTACAAGAGCTGAGTGCAATGAGGGTGGGAAGATAATGTTTTTACAAAGGAGAAATAGCTTGTACTGGGTCAGAACCAAGCTGCTGTGGTGCGGCTCCAAAAGGACACCTGACAGTTTCATCGTTGCAGATGGGTATATCTACAGGTAAGACAGACTGCAGCTTTGGATCATAAGAAGGTCTTACATGCCAAGGGGGGTTATTTGGCTTTTGCCCCGCAGCAAGTGGAGAAAACCACAGGAGGGTTTTAAGTGCAGTAGTGGTCAACTTTGTGCATTAGAAAGATGTCTTAGCTGCAACCCAGACTTCCATAATCATCATTCCCATTATGGCTGATCTCAAGCTCCTAGCATGAACTCCTAAGGAATCAGAGAGAGATGTCTGCTGCACACCGTTGGGTAGGATTCCTAACACACACATACACACACACACACATACACACACACATTACAGATAAAGAGAAAATCTAAAAGCTTCTGTCTAGACAGAAAAAAAAAAAAACAAATACAAGGAAAATAGCCAGACAAATTAAACTATCTCATTTTCCAAACGAGAAGCTAGAAATGATTCAATTACAGCTGCGGTCTAGTTAAAGACATACAGAGTCACTCAAAAATCTTCGTATTTTGCTATTTCACCTCACTTATTTACGTAGGATAAGACTATTGGATGATACTCGCCCCCTCAGGGATTCACTCTCAAGACCTCTTATGAGAAAATACACAAAACGTCTCTTAACTAAAGACCAACTGAATCTGAAAGAGACTTTAAGGTAAGAATAAAGAGCAATAATACAAAATGTACTTCCAAACTTAAATAGATAATGATGACATGACTGGGAACTTTGTCTAATTCTCTAAATAAGACTCAAAAGAGAGTCATTCTTCAAAGAAAAAAAAAAACAATAATGCTGGTGAAACAGAGAACAAGATAAAAGTATTCTGGGGACTCACTGGAGATTCTAAAGGGGGCAGAATGAGGAATGGAAATGGAAAGCTGGGATCTGACTTTTGTAGAACCATGGTAACATAACCAGCTCAAAATAAGTAAAAACTGAGTCCTAGGAATCTCCC